TGGGATTCTCTAACAGCCACTGGGCCTCAGCCTCGTCCCTCGGAGCAGGGCTACAGCATCCTACTCACCTACACCCAGGGTTCTCTTCTGACCAAGCTGGGCTTCTTCTGGCTGCCCCATATGCAGCCACCTCCAGCACACTCCCGCTGTAGCCTGGGTGAGCTGAGGAGTTGCTGACCCCATGAGGGGGCGGCTCCGGCTAGGTCAGCTGTGCCTGGCTCAGCCTTTGTCCTGCTCCCTGGCGGCTGCCATGGCGCTGAAAGGAAGGAGAGGAGGCTTGTGTCATGGGAGTTCCTACCCTTGCTTCCCTGGGCCCCTGGCCTGAGAATAAGTCTGGGGCTTGAATGATGGCCTTGTCCTCCAGTGGCCCTGAGCATCCCTGAGACACAGTCCCTTCTTCAGTTATTCCCACCATATCTGAGTGCCCCCTTGTGCTCCAACATGATGCTGGACCCAGAGACATTCCAGGCATCCCTGCCCCAAAGGAGCGCAAACTTCAGTGAAGTGACCTTTAGTATGCGCATACTGTATGCTGGTTGAAGTACATCAGCTCATTTAACAGCACCCCTCTATGGCAGCGGTTATGATTCCCATTTTATAGGTGAAAAATCCAAGGCTCAGAGGGCTAAATGACTGGCCCACTTGGCAGAGCCTGGCCTTCAGAGGTCGTGCCCTTTCCACAATGATGTTGTGTAGGGTCAAGTTGGTAGGTACCAAGAGCCAGAGCAGGATGCTCCAGGAGGGCAGGTCTTTGGGAGCAGGAAAGAGCAGAGTTTGGACACAGGGTACAACCCAGAGAAAGGGAAGGGTGAAGCCACGCTGGGCCTGGGATGGCCATATGGGGTCCCCAGGGTAAGGGCAGGTTTGAGGGAAGCAGTTCAGGGCTGCTTCTGTCAGGAATCCAGGGTTCCCCACTCTTCCCCCACTTGGTGACCTCTCTGACCTCCACTTGCCCACACTGAGCCCTTGTGCAAATGAAGAAAAAAAGGCACCCCTCTGCCACTTGACTGCCATTTGTCAAAAATTGTCATCATGAATCTGCACCTGTGTGGAAACCCTGTGCTTCTTGGCGTGGGGCAGAGCACAATTTGCTCAGCCATGTGTGGGGATCCTTCTCTGAGCCTCTGAGTGCTGGAGACACACCCCCTGAGCCTGTGCAGGCTGTGGGAGATGGGGAGGCTGAGAAGTGCTATCCCTCTGTATGGCAGTGGCCTCAGGAGGCCAGTTGGGGCAGTGATCCCTGCTGCCATCCTCTGGGAGCAGGGCCAGATTGGCTTGTTAATGGTAGAGCGGGCACAGGCCTTTTTCCTCCATAATGCACCCTGACAAGGACCATTAGTGCCATTTGGAACCTCTTTATCAGGGGAGCTGCACACAGGCTGCTTCCTCCAGTCCCTGCCTTCCCCTTCCCCTTCCTTCCAACCGCTGTCATGTAGTTTTTTCCTCTGATTGTTCTCAGTGCACACCCGCCCCTCCCCCCCCCACTGCCTGGCCCTCTTCATCCTCCTCCAAGGGCCCCCTGTAGCCAGCTGGCCTCCGCTCCCAGCTCCCAGGCCTGTAGTCCCCAGACCCCCCAACCCTCACTCAAGCCCCTGTCCTGAAAACAGAGTTCCTAGTTCCTTGTTGCCAAGGCCCTGTCCCCGTCCCTGCCATGCCTGGGTGCCTCACCTACCTGTAGGCTCTACGCCTGTCACCCTGGTCAGTTTCTAGGGGCAGGGATGCAGTCCCTCATTCTTGTCCTGTTCTGGCTCAAAGTAAGGGTCTGGCCGTGTCGTGGAGCACAGGACCTCTGGGGGCCACCTGACCCCTGCAATGCCTGTGGTCTTCCGGGCTACCTGTTGGTGTCACCCTGGGTCCTTCATCACACCTTGCTGCCGGATGTCTTCCCAGCACCTGCAGCAGCAGGTGCTCTACTATTTCGACCTTCAGGAAACTTGTGCCATCCTAAGCTGTGGCTTCTCGTCACCTGGGGCCTTGGCCACTGCTCGAAGTGCAATGCAGAGCTCGCTGCTGCTGCAGGAGAGCAAGCCCTGGAGACAGATGGGCACCCGGCACCGCCAGCAGGACTGAGCACTCCTCTGGCGGGTGGGGCAGGGCGATCAAGCCCCAGTGAAATCTCTCCTAGATGAGCATATCACACCAGGGTGGGAGAAAAGGAACCTACCGGTTCATTATCAAGTCTTTCTTGAGTTCCTCCACCACCTGGGGATATGAGGACACCCAGCTCATCAGTGTGCTCACAGCAGAGCCACACACAGAATCACAGACCTGCAGGTTCTGCTGACGCCGAGGTTGGTGTGAGGGTGGTGTGGCTCCAGCTGGGATTCACCCTGTAGGACAGGGATGCCCTCGGGGAGAGGGGTCTCACTGAGGAGGGAAAGGCTGCCTTCCATGGAGGATGTGGCTCACGTAAAGCTGTGGGCTCCCCAGGGCCTGCTGGGAACTGCGGCAGGTCAGCACGCGTCGGGCTGCAGGTGCAGAGGTTGGCCTGGCCTCAGAGTCTACAGAAGAGCTCAGGCATCAGGGAGTTCGAGCTGGGGTGTGACACACCAGAAGGGAATGAGGCTGGGGGACACGGCTCCCTCTGTGGGAGCCCCAGACACTAAGACTGGCCTGAGAGCTGCCAGCTGGACCCTGCAGGAAATGGGGTCTGTTATGAACAAATATGAATTTGAGGCAAGAGCAGAGACTCTGAGAAGGACTAGACGGAGGTGCTGGGCCAGCCAAGGTGGAGGAGGTGGAGAGACCTAGCCCTGGCGGTGCAGGCCAGACCCACAGCCTGGCCACGGGAAGCAGCACAGAGCTACCACCCAGACTGTCCTAGTGGTTCCCTGACATGGGCCTCAGTCCCCCAGGTGGGCACGTGGCCTGCTCTGCTTCTCACCAGGTTTTCTCTGTTCCTAAGCAATCCTGGGTTTGCCATGCCTGGAGCTGGGGCTCGTGCCAGTGTACGCCCAGGTGGGGCAGGCACAAGCGACCTACTCTGAGAAGCCATCCCCACCCCAGACCTGCTGGGAGGATTGGGTTTTAGAGTATGGTCACCTTCGTCTCTGTTTTAAATCAAGTGGGGGTTAAGCAAAGAAGCCTGGCTCTGCACATGACAATGAGTGGTGGCGGCTGCTTACCCAGACATGGGTCACCAATTTGTGTGACTCACAGGGTGGGGGGAGCTGCTAGTGTGTACCAAGTCACAGATGGCCCAGGAAGATGGCTTCTCCTGCATGCTGGAGAGAGGCCCGGGTGCTTATGGTATGCTAATGGAGAGTGCCCACTGTTTGCCAGCCATCGTTCTGAGTACTTGACTTGTATTACCTCATTTAATTCTCAAATTGACCTCATGATTTTAGTGCTCTTAAGTTCATTTCACAGAGGAAGAAGCAGGCACAGAGAGGTTGAGTAACACGCCCAAGGTTAGTTACACAGCCTATTAATGGTAGATTTGAAGTCCCAGGCAGTCTGGCTCCAGATGCTGTAGTTAATGCCTCCATGAGGTGTCCCTGGGCAGCAAAGGAGAGCGATGTTCTGGACTTTTCCTCCCCTTGCAGCTTCCTGCTCAGGCATAAATGCTGATGGAGTGGAGGCAGACTCCGTCTCCATCTTGTTGGAACCATGTCATCTGGGGAATGGCCACTTGAACAGGTCAGGATGCAAAGTTTAAAAACAAGTTTAAAAACAGAGGGATGCTGCCAGGTGCAGCATTGTACACCTTAATCCCAGCAGCTTGGGAGGCTGAGGCAGGAGGATCACAAGTTCAAGATCAGCCTCAGCAACTTAGTGAGACCCTTTCTCAACATTAAAAATAAATAAATAAAAAGGGCTGGGGATGTGGCTCAGTGATAAACTCCCCTGGGTTCAATCCTCAGTTACCAAAAACCAAACAAAATCAGAGGGACCCTATTGCTGTGGAGCAGAGAGATGGTGTAAGGGTGCTAAGGCAGAGCCCAGGAAGGCTTTCCAGAGAAGGTGACATTTGAACTGACTCAAAGGTGAACAGGGCTGGGCGCAGTGGCGCACCTCTGTAATCCCAGTGGTTAGGGAGGCTGAGACAGGAGGATCAAGAGTTCAAAGCCAGTCTCAGCAATGGTGAGGCCGCTAAGCAACTCAATGAGATCCTGTCTCTAAATAAAATTTTTAAAAAATAGGGCTGGGCATGTGGCTCAGTGGTCAAATGCCCCTGAGTTCAATCCCTGGTACCAAGAAAAGAAAAGAACAGGAATTTTGGTAGAACAAGCTAGGGACAGTGGCCCTTCCTTAGGGATGTTGACCTCCCCAAAAGGCAGTCATCGCCCCCTTATGCAGGGTGTTCCTAGCTTGTGCTTCTGAGACTGGGGTATAGAGAAAAGAAAGGAGGAATAAGGCCCAGGCAGAAGCACCTGTGAGCCAAAACCTCTGGAAGCAGCAGTGGTGGTCAGCATGCCCTCCATCGCCACCCTGGACTGGAGACAGCCTCGCCAGGCCCTGAAGCATCAGTGCCCAGAAGAGGAGGCGGAACTTTATACTTACTTCTTTAAAGCCTAGAGACTGGGGCCCTAGTTCTGGGGCCCTGGTCCCTAATCCTCTGCTAACTTGCTGTGTGACTTGGACAAATCAAAATCACTTGGCCTTTCTGGGTTTCAGTGTTGTTATCAGAAGCATGGGGTAGAAGTGGAGAAGAGGACCTGCTTTGTAAGCATGTCTGAGGACAAAATAAATGAGGGATGCGACTTCACAGACTGCAAGTCACTGGCCAGTGTGAAGGCTTTAGGGCAGATGAGACTTTGCTTCTGGAGATCATTTGCCAGAACAGGAGACCAACACACACTGACCTTAGTCTGCAGCGGAAAGACCACAGCTCTGGGGTGGACTCTGCTCCTTGTTCCCCACTCATTTGTGACTTTGGTCCCTGTGATGTTGGACAGGTCCTTTCCCCTCTCAGCCTTCATTCCTCACCAGTACCAAGAGGGCACTAATCCTGCCTGGCAGGACCCGCACTTGACCCCTCTCCTCCTCTGCCCTTGCAGTGGGAGCGCCTCTGGTTCCTGCTCCTCACCTTCACCTTTGGCCTCACGCTCACCTGGCTGTATTTCTGGTGGGAAGTCCACAATGACTACGACGAGTTCAACTGGTGAGTGGGGGCTGGGTCCTGGGCATCCATGGCTGGGACCTGGGGGCTCCAGTTTGAGCCTCTCTCCCAGGTTGGATCTGAGGGCTCTGACACCTGTCCTTCCTGTGGCCTTGAGCAAGGCCCACCCCAGGAGCCTCTGTCCTGCCCACCTGCAGGGCCTCAGTGAGGCTGGGAGAGAAGGGGGCGTAGTGTACATCACAGACTGGCAAGAAAGATGGAGAGGAAAGGAGCTCCCTGCCTTGAGGGCATTCCCACTGGGACCTTGGGAGGGCACAGGAACAGCCTTCAAGGACTGCGGGGACTGAGCCCATGGAACTCAGTGCTGGCCCTCAGACCTTTGGTGTTTATGTGGGTGACTCATCCTGCATGGCCTGCCTGAGGAGGCACGAGGGGCACCTGAAAGATCAATGGAGACAGGAGCGGAAGATCACCATGCGGGCTACAGGACACCCCTCCCGGGGCTGTGCCAGGGAAAAGAGGAGGAGCGGAAGATGGGCACAGCACTTAGCCCGGGCTGGGCCTCTGGTCATCTCCTTTTTAGACAAGAACTCTGAGGCCCAGAGAGACCAAGGCCTCAGCAGAGGAGGAGCCCCAACCCCAGACCTCCTAACTCTCCGAGCCAACCATGCCTGGGCATGGCTGGCCATGGCTGTGGTCTGGGGACAGCTAAGTCTCCTTCGTGGGCACCTCGGGTCCAAAGGCAGGGCTGTCTGAGGCAGGTACCTGGGTGCAGAAGGGGTACTGTCTCTTCTCGCCCCCAGTCCTCCCCTGGAAGGCACTGGGTTGATCAGAGGTAAAATGGGATGGTGGGTGTGGGAGGCTGCCTCCCGGGAGACCAGGTCTCCAGCTGGAGGGTGTTGTGGTGGGGGCTGTGGGGTTCCTCGGAGTCAGCTTTTGATGGGCCATGCTTCTGGGATTCTGTGGGGATCTGAGACTCCGTTCATGGACCGTGGAATCTGGCTGTCCCCTTTCCTCTGCACAGCCCCATCCTGTGCCCCTGTTATTAATGAGCACAATAAAGGACCTGTTGCGGTCTCACTCCTTCTCCACAGCAGCCCAGAAAGATGAGCCAGAGCCCTAGCTGGGTCCCAGAGGTGGCCTCTGGTCTTTATTAAATTCCATAAATCAATTATTCGTCTGCTCAGGTATCCAAAGCATGAGTACTATTGTGAACATTTCCTCCCGGGCCTCAGTGGCAGACCCTGGATAGTTCTCTGAACTAGGAGATCAGAGGGTGTACCAAGCACAGATGGGGAGACTGAGGCCCAAAGAAGGAGGGGCCACATTCATGGTCATATGACCTGTCAATGACAAAAACACATATTTAAGGACAGTCTGAGGAGACAGACCCAGAGAGATTAAAGGGCCCTTGCAAGGTCATATGTGAGATGCAGGTGGATCTGGCACAGGACTTGGGCTTAACTATCATGTTGTCCACGGAGCCATCCACTCTTCATAGAGAGAGCTCCCTGTTCCTGGGAGACTCAGCCGAGGATACCTGCCTGTCTTGGTGGGAGACTGCAAGGAAAGGCCCGCATGGGACTGTGGAGTGCCTGGGAGCTGCAGCTCTTTGCCTGTCACCTCAGGGTCTTGGAGGCTGGGTACCAAGGTTCAGGAGATCCTGACTCAGTCCTCATGGTCTTATGAGCTTTTGGGGTAGTTTGTGTAGTAAGAGATTGTGAGCAAGACCCAAGGAGGTCCGAGCTCACCAAGTGGGACAGAGAGGGCCATTTGAACTGTGGTGTCCTAGAGAGCCCCAAAGCGGTTGAATTTGAGACACTTAGGACCAGAATATCTTCCAGGAGCAGTTACAGGGGAATTCCTGCCTCAGTTTCCCCAACTGAGCAGCAAAATGACTGTGCTCATGATCTTCCAGGTAGTAAGTCTTCCCCTGGGTCCTCCTGGAGAGCAGCTAAGCTGCGGAGAGCCTTAAAAAGCTCATTCCCTGAACCTTATAATTCTTCTGGTGGGGATCTGTCCTAAGGGCATAGCCAGAAATACAAAAAGATATGCCCATTTTTTTCATTTTTGTGTTAATTTGTAATAGTGAATCAGTGGAAACGATGAAGTGCCATTCTAGGAAGTTGGCTATATATGGCACATGGATTCAATAGAGGACCACATGGCTGTTTTTAAAAATCACATTTCCTCAGCACTTTTGCAGACAGCAGTAAACACTGTGCTGAGAAGAGTCTGTTGAGTGCTCACCATGTGCTTCACCTCTTTTCCTCCTCTCAGAAGCCTCAGAAGGACACGCTGCTCTTATCTGTCCTGCAGATCGAGGCTCAGATAAGTCAAGGATTACATTTTATCATCTCTGAGACCCCATATTTTCACATTTGAACACCGGAGTGGGGGTGAATGTTACAACCAATGGCAGAGAAGCCTGTCACTTCAAGGTCCCATTAGCGCTTCAGAGGCAGAGTGGGAACTGGAGCCAGCATGTCCACGGTGCCCAAAGCCTCCTGCTGTGGGTGCTCCTGTGTGCCCAGGGCCCAGCTTCGCTGTTCAAATATATAGGTGTGGGGAACCCACAAGAAGAAAATCCTGCAGTCTTGGTGACAGTTATTTCTGGACAGTAGGATTGCAGGAAATTGTTCTTTATGTGTCTTGGTCCCCCTTGGTGGACACTGGGAGACCAAGAAGCTGAAGAGCATGAGTCATGTTCTAATGACGAGGGAAATGCCACTACAGGGCGAGCAGGGCCTGGCCGCTGGACCAGCCTGTGGGCCACCCAGCTGCGGCTGTGGAAGACCCGAGATCATTTTGGTTCCTAGGGCAGGCAGTGACCCTGTGGAGGTCTGACCCCTGCCCCTTCTCCTCCCGGCAGGTACCTCTACAACCGCATGGGCTACTGGAGTGACTGGTCTGTGCCCATCCTCGTGACCACAGCTGCTGCCTTCACATACATCGCAGGCCTCCTGGTACACAGGGCTGTCTCAGAGGGCTGGTCCCCCTGCTTCTAGTAGGCAGGGACACTTGGTTGGTGCTAGGCCTGCCTTAGTTTAAAGGGGGAAGCTGGCTTTGCCCAGGGTCTCTCAGGTGGCTGCACTTCTGAGACCTGGGTCCCCCAAGGAGAAAGGTCATCTGTTTTGCCAGTCTCTTTCAGCTGCCCATCCTGGAATGTCTGTCCTGTCCGCACCCCTGCCCCAGCCCAGTGACAGCCACCCTGCTGTCCACTGCAGACTTCCTCTTCCAAGAACTCCACTTTAGGTTCCTGCTCCCAGTATCCCAGTGATAGAGATTCATGTGGACCCCATTCTGGTCTGGGAGTTCTTAGGGCCAGGACTCAAATCTGTCTCAGAATCCTAGGGCCTGGGACTCCCAAAATATTTGATGAATTAAGTTGGGCAGTCCAAGTGCAGCAGGGCCCAGTGGCTGCTTCAGGGAAAAATCCAAGAGGAGGGGCCTGGAGTCCTAGAATAATCTGGAAGGAGGCCAGGCTTGGACAGGGCTGGGCTGGGCATTCCTATCGCCTGTAGGAAGGGTTTGCTGACCCTGTCCTGGGTCAGGCCAGGTCAGGCACCAGCCTAACTGCCACCCTGCGGGCCTCTCCTCAGGTGCTGGCGCTATGTCACATTGCCGTGGGGCAGCAGATGAACCTGCACTGGATGCACAAGGTAAGCCTGCCTCTGCTGGGCCAGGAGCGGGGAGGGGAGGCTGGAGGCCAGGGCAGCGGACAAAAAGCCTGGGTCCCCCATCCCTGCCCTGGATCACAGCTGCAGCCGCTCCACTGGCTCACACGGAGCCCTTGCTGCGGGTCAGGCGGGATTCTCAGAGCCGGGCCCTTATTCTGCCTGCAGCCAGCGCAGGGAGCCTAGGAGGTTGCTCTGACATCATTCCATGTCCCAGTTGGAAGAAATGAGGTACAGAGAGGTTAAGTCACTTGCCCAATGTCTCCCAGTGCGTAAGTGGAAGGTCCAGGATTCCAGCCCTCTTGCCTCGGGTTGATCCAGGACATCAGTGGGGGAGGGCGGTCGGTGTCAGAGCTCCTATGGCCGCCCAGCCCACCCACTGACTCTGTCTCAAGTCTCACCTCCTCTTCGTTCTTCAGTGAGTTCTTTATAAAACCCTGGTCAGGCGAAGTCATTTTCATCACTCCCAGGGATCCCAGGATGACCTCAACTCCCCTACTTTCCCACCCACCCAGCCAACGCCTCCCTGTTCCTGGCCTCCCTGCTCCTGACCTGGGCCGGTCACCCTCAGCTCCTGCTGTGTGAGACATCTCTGACCCTCCAGCCCTCCCACCTGCCTTTTCTCCTTTTTTACCCCCCTTGCTTGCTGTCTCTTGACTCCTTTCTTGTTACTGGTCCCTACACACCCAGACTTCTGTCCTAGGGCTCCCCAGTCCCTGTGATCTCCCCTGCTACATTTCGGAACATCCGTGTTGTCAGTTTCCATCTGGCTTGCCCACCCCAACCCACTCCTTGGTGCTCCCTGCAGGTCTAGTGCTCCTTGCAGACTGGAACTGGCATTGACCATCTCCCCCCCGCCCCCAGCACCCCACTCAGGGCTGGACCCAGAGCAGGCAGGCTTCACACCACCTAGAACCTTAGCCTGCACATCACACGTGAATGCTTGGTGCAATTCCCTGGGTTTCTGATGCCCACTCTGCCTGAGTAGGTGCCCAGGTGTGGTGCAAACCTGATCCAGACAGCCCCTGGGCCATGGAGGGAAGGCTAGGTCATCTCTTCCCAGAACCTGGTTCAGAGTGGGCACACCACTTAGGAAGGAGCAAAAGTGTTCAGAAACAGCCATGAGCCCATGAGATGGGTCCAGAGTGACTCCAGGTGAAAGGGCTCACTTCCAGCTAGAAGGGAGTACAGGAAGAGGAAGAGAGCTGAGAGCTCGGGCCTGTGAGTAGTGTGGGAAGGGGTGGGGGTCAAGGTTGGTTAATGACAGGGTCTGGAGCCAGCAGCTACACCTGTAGCATAGCTGGTCTTGCAGGGGTTTAGAGCAGTGAGCAGCCCCTGGTCCCGTCCCACCTTTCCGAGGCCGGTGACTCTATCCGGAGCTCTCCTCTGAGCTTCCGCAGCCCCCTCTGTGAGGCACTTTCTTCTCCTGGCTGCAAAATTAACACTTGAAAGAATTGCACCAGCTGGTACCCTGGGTGGGGCTGGCACATGCTGTGGTCACCTCCTGCCTCTCAGCAGGACAGGTCACATCGGCTTGATCCTGGTGGAGAGGCCTATAGAGCCACTGAGCCAGCCGGAGGTAGCACATCAATGCTATCTCTGCACGGGTGCCCACCCTGGGGACCAGGCGTGCCCTCCTCTCCCTTCTGCCCCTCCACCCTCTCTGTGGGATCTTGGGGTGAGGAGGGGCTTTCCAGAGACTGCCTCACCCCGGGGGGGTGGGGGGTCTCAGGGCTTTTGAGCAGGTGCTGGAAGTTTTCCATATGTATTCTATTTTTTCACGATTCTGTCATTGTATTCTAAGAAAGCTGTCTTTTGTTTTTGTTTTAATTTATTTTTGACCACATAATACATTGATGACACAAAAAAGTACACAATGAAAATTTCTTTATTTCCAGAGATATTTTAAGCACAAATATACATGTACATTTTGTTTTTCTTTCTCTTTAAACACAACACCCTCTGTCCTGCCCCTTGACAACATGCTTGGCACTCCTGTTAGGGACATTAAGAGTAGACCTTTGGGGCCATCACTTTCTCCTGCTCCCTGCTCTGGGCATTCCCAAGTTCCCTAGGTATCCATGCCAGGCCCCTGTTGATGGCCCTAGTCGCTATCCCAGCTACTTTCAGTCCACAACCCAGGCAGTGTGGCAATGACCCAGGAGAGGAATTTCTGGGTAAAGAATGTCTACTTTCATAATCTTGATCTTGCCAAGTGGCCTAGTTGCCAAGTGCCACTAATTCATACTCTCTTGACAATGTATGGCCAGGCCCACAAAAACACCCCTAACCCACAGATGTGAGCTGATTTCTTGACCTTTGCCGATCTGATCGGCGAAAAATGAAACCTAACTATAGTTTGCATTCCCTTGGGATGAGTTAGAGTCAGCACTTTTCACAAGCTTGAGTCACGTGTGTCTTCTCTATCTGCTGTCTCTTGGTGTTTTGCCCTTTTTGCTATGGAATTTGCTTTTTACTTATTAATTTGCAGGAGCTCTTTATAGATTTGGGTGATTAGCCCTTTGGCTGCAGATGATTTTTCTTAGTTTATCATTTATCTTTAGACTTTGTTCATTGTATTTGTGCCACAGGGTTTTTTGTTTTTTGGGTTTTTTTTTTTCCTAAGTACTTAGATCTGTCATCTCTTTTTATGGCTCCTGGGTTTTGTGTCAGACTTAGATCTTTCTCATTCCGAGATTATATAAAATTTCTCTGTGGTATCACTTGGTAATTATGTTTTCACTTTTTTTAACATTTAAATTTTTTTTTATCTTTTTGGAAGTTATTTCGGGGCATGGTGTGATCTTAGTTAGTTCTTTTTAGATGGTTTCCCCGTGTTCCCAGCTGTCTTCTCTGAGCAAGCCTGCCTTTCCCCTCTAATCCACTTTGATCATAAACCATATATTTTAATACATTCTGATCTATTTCTGAACTTTTTACTTACTATCATGTTGCTTTGAAGACTTGAGTTTTATGGTATTGTTTTGTTTTTGTAATACTGGGGATGGAGCCAGGGCTTTGTGCATGCTAGGCATCTACCACTGGACTACATCCCCAGCCCTGCTATGTTTTAATCATGACCTATATTTTGAATCTGGGTTTCCCCTGGATCCTGAGGAAGGAAGGACAGAGGTGCTCAGGGACTGGTTGGGGAGGGAGCCATCTATTCAACACCTGGTGTTGTGAGAGAATCAAGGATCCCCTGGGGACCTTCCTCCTCCTCCCAAGTCTGCCCAGAGTTCCTGTCTCCCAGAACTCCCTCCCAGGAGCCCCGAAGGTGTGGAGAAGGTTGAAGTGTTCTTGGGGACTTGGCAGTAAACACAAGGCCCTTTCCTTGGGATGCCACCTCTGTGGGGTGCCAAAGGCAGCTCCTCCTTCCCCAGCCCGTCTCCTCCTCCTGCCACAGGGGATTCAGCCACAGCCTGCAGAGGAGGGTTCTGTCAGTGACCCAACTTGAGGCTAGAGAGGAACACTGGGAACCGTAGAGCCCCAGAGCAGCTGGGCTGGTGTGTCTGCCCACATCCCAGACTCGATCAGGGCGTCAGCTTGCTGACCACTCTGTCCACACCATCCACATTGCCAGTGAATTCAGGATTTTCTCCAATATCTAACCCAGGCTCCACAGTTCTGCCTGGTGTCCTGCCTCTATCCCTCCAGCTGTGGCTTAAGAAAGGAACATTCATTGAGAACCTCCTATACGCTAGGCACTGTGTTCATCATAACAGCACTAACCATTGGCACATAAAATTAGGCACTTACTGCATGCATCAGGCACTCTGCACACAGAGTTTCATTCCTTCCTCACAATCATCCTGTTCAGTTGCTGTCACTTAAAATGATCCTACTAACATCCAGGAAGCATTTCCTCTCGATGCTGGCATTTCCTCATTTATCTTCCCCAAACTCTCCCAGGTAGGCACTCACTGTCCCCACATCTCAGCTTAGGCAAGATTTATGAAGAGCAGAATAACCAGGATTTGACCCAGGAGTGGGACTTGGGTGTGGCTCTCACCTTGAGCCAACTGTCTGCCATTGGGATCCTGGAACCCAGAGGCCAGGCACCCCCAAGAGGTCAACCCATTGCCCCTCTGCAGGGCTGGGTCCCAGCACCCAGGCAACCCTCTGGAATGAATGAGCGCACTGCCTCAGCCTCCACCCTCATCGCCATCACAGACCGCAGCCCCAGCAGGACAGAAATCCAAGACCACTCTCTCAGTCTGTCTCCAGGCCACCAGCGGGGGAGTCATCCTTCCTAGCCAGCCTTAAGGCCCAGGGCTCACATTGCTGTGAGTTGGTGCTATTACCATGGCTTAAGGACACATCAGAGAGAGGGAGTTCCATGCTGGGTATTCAGCAGAGCTGCTGAGCTTGTAGCTGCTGCTGCAGCATCTGTAAAACCCAGAGGTGGTCGAATTTTTAATTGTATCAGGATTATGAGGAGTCAGGTTTATTGCCTATATTTCCACCAACAGTTACTATTTGTAATGAGATGCTCTCAGAAACGACCCTTCTGGGATGCCAGCTCTCTCCCAAGGCCACAAGGGGGCAGATGTGTGCCTGGAGTGGACAGCCTGGGTGTGGAGGTAGAGGCTTCTCAGGATGGTTAGGAGCTCCCCAATGCCCCCTCAACTCCCAGCCCTCCCCACAGCAGCCTGAACTCCGAGAATGCGCACAGGCAGAGGGGTTTGTATCTGGATCCGCCTCTGAAGCTGTGAGATCAAGCGAGCAGAGCCCACTCCCGGGGTAGGAAATGACAAGGCCTCACCCGGGGTGTCAGAATACAGTGGAGGACACCCTGAGTCCCGCTGCAGGCAGACCCAGGCACACCTTCTTCTGTTGTCCCAGAAGAGGCATGTCACAACCCATAAAGGCCTTTACCTGTTTGACTTGTTACTGTTTCTTAGGAGAAGACCTATTTTTCCAGGCCAATGGGCTGAAATGACAAGTTTCCAAAGGAAAAGTTAATCCCGGGCAAGAATTCACCTTCCCTGCCTGGCAGGGAGCAAAACAAGAGGCCACTGTCCCTGCCTCAGGTCTAGAAAGCCCACGGAGCCCTTGCTCAGCTGCTGGAAGTTCTCAGGGCGCTGCTGTCAGGACAAAGGGCCTGGCAGGAGGAGAAAGGCGAGAGGACGTTCGTTGCCGAGGGAGAAAAGGGCTTGAGGGAGGCAGAGAGGCCAGGCCGCCTGTGGGCCACGAGTCTGACAAGCCAGAGAGCAGCATGCCGTGGTCCCGGCCAGCTTCCGAGCACCGGGCAGCGGGAGGCCGCAGTGGAGGTGTGACTGGGCTACGAAACAGGCCTTGCGCACAGGGGGCTGGATGGGCAGCAAAGTCGAGGGCTCAATGGAGGGTATCGCTGGTGGCTGACAAGCAGGAAACCTGAGCTTCGTGGCACTTAGTTTGGGGGTTCCAGATGCTATCCATCCTCAAAGATCTCTGTCCCTGAAGTTGTCCTTGTCCTCTATCAGAGCCATGCTCCTCACTTTCTGGAGAAGCTCCCTGGAGGGCAGACCCCTCACACATTAGAAGCTGCCAGAGCTGGGACCCTGGGGTTGGTGGGCCTTGGTGAAGGAGCCGGTGCTTGCCCTGCCAGAAGTGCCACTGTGAGCCTAGTCCTGTGCGTGGGGCTAGGCTGCACACCAGGCCCTGTCCCTGTGGCCTGGAGCAGGCAATCTCCTCATCCCATCTGCCCTGGATGCCACCGTCCCTCTGAGCTTGCTGGGAGGGCTGGGAGGCCGGGTGGCCAGCAGGGAGGCCCTGCTGGTCGAGTGTTTCCAGTTTCCTTCTCTCCACCCTCCCTCTTTCTGACTGTCCCTTCCTTACAGGGTCTGCCTGTCCCTTCCTGTCTGTCCTCTCTCTCTGCCTTCCCCAACTGCCCCTCAGCCCATGCCATCTCTTTCCTTCCCTTCTATCTTGCTTCCTCCAGCTCCCCTGCTTTCTCCATCTCTTCCCAAGGGTCCCTAGGTTCTCTCTCCACTCTTCCTCTCAGACACCCTGGAGCCCACCATCTGCTCTGACACTGTGTCTGATGCTTCCTCCTTTCAGATTGGGCTGGTAGTCATCCTGGCCTCCACTGTGGTAGCCATGTCAGCCGTGGCCCAGCTGTGGGAGGACGAATGGGAAGTGCTGCTGATCTCCCTGCAGGTAAGTGTGTGAGAGGGTGCTCCACCAGGACCCTTGCAACAGGCAGTGCCTTTTTGTCTCCTGTTTCTCCATAGCATGGCCCGAAGTTGGTGCAAATTTGATTTGGGTCACACAGCAGGTCAGAGGTGGGGAGGATACTGTAAGCCAGGGTCTCTGGATTCCCAGTATCCTTATCAGGCAAACAGAGACAGGGTACTGACTTTGTGGGTTAAACGTGGGCTATCAGCTTGCTGGCAACTTGAGGGCTTGGGCATGTCTGGGAGTCCCAGGGCCCTCCTCCTCTTCACAAACACAGGGCACAGCACCATTTCTGCACATGGGGGCCCTGGCTGCCATCACTGCACTCTCCTGGATCGTGGCTGGACAGTTCTCCCGCGCAGAGCGGTCCTGTGAGTACTGCCTCCCCACTGGCGTGACACCTAGGCCAGGTTGGGCTTCCCCTACTGGACTCCACCTGTATAGCCTGAGCTGAGCAGGGGCCCTTGTGATCAAAGGGCATGGGGGGGGGGGTTCCTGGTTCAGAGAGGCCTACAGACTCCACCAAAAAGTGTGGCTCTGTCAGCCTTCAATTATATCTTTCCTCCAAGTGCACATGCATGCACACGAGTGCGAGCTCATGTGTGTATGTGACTTCCCAGCAGGAATGGGCTCTACCTCTCAGAATGCTGGGCTCCTACATCCGCCCCTGGCTACCGAGGGTTCCCTGTTGGGAGAAGGTGCTCCCAACCATGAGGTGCTCATGGCCTGTGTCTGCAGCTTCCCAGGTGACCATTCTCTGTACCTTCTTCGCTGTGGTCTTTGCCCTCTACCTGGCCCCTCTTACCATCTCCTCTCCCTGCATCATGGAGAAAAAGGACCTGGGCCCCAAGCCTGCCCTCATCGGCCACCGCGGGGCCCCAATGGTGAGTGCCATCTTAGGGTCCTAAGAGACTGGGAGAGGGGTGGGTGCCACTGCCATTCCAGAGGAGGAATCTGTTGGGAAATGGATATGATATATGCAGTCTAATAATAGGGACAAGCTTAGCTCTTTGGGGGAGGTGTGTGGGGAAGGCTGTGGCAAAGGCCAGGAGAGCCGATGTGGGCCCAGATCCTGAAGAGCCCTGAAGGCATCTTACTAAAAAGATTTCACTTTTATTCTGAGGGTCCTGCAGAGATGCAGGAGGTTTCAGGCCCAGGCACAGCACTGCCAATTTTCAGTTAGAAAGGCCCAGAAGAAAGCTGCTGGGTGAGGGGCCTGGGACTGCAACCAGGCAGCAGGAGAACCCACCAGGCTGTGGGGCAGCAAAGCTGAGGGGCAGCTCAGAGCCCACCATGGAAGGGAAGGCTGTTGGAGCAGACTGAATTGGAAAGAGAGGATGAAATCAAAGTCGAACCCTATTTTGCCACTAAGGTGCCCCACACCTCTGCAGGAGTACTGAGGTTGAGAGTTCCAGAGCCATGCTGTCTGGGCAGGAAGCCAGGCCCAGCCCTGGCCAGCTGTGGGAGCCTGGGGTTTTCCATCTTCTCTGTTCCTGCTCCCCCATCCTGTGCCATGGGGATAGTGAGTGTGCCTGCCGGGTCAGAGGGCAGCTGTTAGATGTAGTGCCCAGACAGGCTACTTGGGAGGCTGAAAGTAAGAAGAAAGTAAGAAGCCCCCTTTGGACCAAGGTCTCCTCACCCCCTGGAAGACTTGAACCTTCTCAACTGAGGCAATACCAGCCCCCACCCGCAGGGGGCGTTTGGGGACTTCCTGAGAGCTGGTGTCTGTTGAGACCCTGGTACTCTCCCACCAAGCCATTCCACTGTGCCATTGGATTTCAGGAGAGTTAAAGGGGCCTCCACAAGTCATTGTTTTAAAAGCATGTGTATATGGGCTGGGGATATAAGTCAGTGCCTAGTATGCACGAGGCCCTGGGTTTGATGGAGCTCTGAATTCCCCTGAAAGTCCTCTCCTACTGTATGAGATAGGTATTATTTTCTAGATAATACTCAGCTGGGAGCAATGACCCACATCTGCAATTCCTGCTACTTGAGAGGCTGAGGCAAGAGGCACATGTTCAAGGCCAGCCTGAAAAATTTAGCGAAACCCTGTCTCAAAATAAAAATGGGCTGGAGAGAGTATTAAAGCACCCCTGGTTCAATCACCAATAATTAAAAAATAAAATTTAAAAATTAATTTAAAAAAAATCACAGAGGACTGTGTCCCTGAGTTGGACCGTGGTACTCTCCCATCAAGCCACATTCTGCTTGTTTTCTTGGGGGTAGGGGAGGCCAGGTCATTCACCCCCTTGGAGCCTGAGTTAGGGATGCCCATGTTGCTGGGTCTTGTGAGGAGAGGTCAGAAGCACTCCCTTGCCAGGCAGACAGGCCCTCGTGGGGGTGGGTGACCTGTCTCACTTGCTCTGGAGGCCAGAGGAAAAGAACAGTTTGCTAAAGCAGGAGGGGCAAAGAGGGGATGACCCAGAAAGGGCTGTTTTCATTTTTTCTGATATTGAATACCACAAAGCTACACCCCCCCCCTTTTTTTTTTTTTTTTTTTTTTTTTGAGGCAGTTTGCTAAGGCTGGCCTCAAACTTGTGAGTCTCGAGCCTCGACTTCTTGAGTAGCAGGGATTATAGGCATGCGTGACCACCATGCCTGGTAGTTCTTTTCTTTTCCTTTTTTTTTTTGTTCAAAATTAGTTTATTTATCTTAATTAGGTATCTATGACAGCAGGATGCATTTTGATTCATTGCACACAATTGCAGCACAAATTTACATTTCTCTGATTGTAAACGATTAGTGTCACACCATATGTGTAGTCATGCGTGTACCTAGGGGAATGATGTCCATCTCATTCCACCGTCTTTGGTAATTGTTTTCTTTAGTAGAAAAATTTCCAAACACACAGACATGGAAAAAGCAATATAAAGTATCATGTAATGAAGAACCACATTATGAATCCAATACAACCTTCAATAGTTAGCGACATTTTGCCACTCTTGCTTCATTGGTCCCCATACTTTTTTGTTCTGGTGTAGTAAAGCAAATCCTAGACATCATGTTACGTCTTATTTCAGGATGTATCTCTGATCCATAAGAACTTTAAAAAAATATAACCACAGTGCTGTTATTATATCCAACCAAATTAGCAATAATTCCTTCATATCTAATATCAAATCAATTTTCTATTGTTGTCTCAAAAAGTATCTATAGTTCAGTTATTAAAGTTGAGGCTGGCCATGGTGGTGCACACCTGTAATCCCAGAGGCTCTGGAAACTGAGGCAGAAGGATAGCAGGTTCAAGCCCAGCCCCTCAACTAAATGAGTCCTGAAGAAACTTAGCAAGGCCCTGTCTCAAAATAAAAAATAAAAAAGTCTGGGAACATGGCTCAGTGTTAAATATCCCTGGATTCAATCTCTAGTACCCAAAATCAATCAATCAATCAATCAATCAATTAAATAAAATTCAGGACTACCAGACACAGCGGTACATGTCCATAATTGGGAGGCTGAGGCAGAAAGTTCACAAGTTCAAGGTCACCCTGAGCAATTTAGAGAGATCCTGTCTCAAAATTTAAAAAATAAAATAAAAACAGGAATATTTCTCAGTGATGTAGTACCACTTAATTCAATCCCCCACCACCAAAAAAATCAGGACCTAAATGATGTCCACACTGACCCCTGAGTACCTTTTAGTCTATAATAGTAGCCATCCCTTTTTCCCTTATGCCATTTATTTGTTGAAGAAATTCATTTATCCTGTAGAATTTTCCACATTGTACATCTGGCTGATTTCATCCTTGTAGTGTTTATTTTATAACCAACCAACTAATTATTTTTAATTAATATACAAGAATTATGCATATTTATGAGACACAGTGTTTCATTTTCATACATGTATACAATGCATAGTGATCAAATCAGGGTAATTAGCATATCTATCACCTCAAATATTTAGCATTTCATTGTGTTGGGAACAATAGAAATCCTCTCTTCTGACCTGAAACGCACAGCAAATTCTCATTAACTATAATCACACTATATGCTGTGGAACTCCACAACTAGCTTCTCCTATCTGACTTTAACCTTGTACCTGTAAACCTCTCCCCTCCAGCCTATAATAACCACTATTAAACCCCAGCCCCTAATAACCACTATTCTGCTCTTTATCTCTACAAAACCAACTTTTAGTGGTGTTTGAGAAGGCCCAGCCAAGGTCCCCTCTGTGTCCCTGCAAATGCATGTGGATCTGTCCATGGGTCCTCAGGTAATTGATTATCCGTGGGTTCTGACTGTTGTAAGCTGAGTGCACCTCCTGCCTGAGAGGCTGTGTCTGTGTGTCCCAGGTGTGCTGTTCCTAGGTGGACTTTCTTATTTGGTGTGACTAGATCCAAAGCTGGGACTCTCAAGCATAATTTCCTGTTCACTAAGTGAAACAACTTTCCACCCCACCCGCATGCACCGTCCTGACAGAGCCCCACTTGGACTTGCCTGAGGCAGGTAGGAGCTCTGAGAGAGGGATTATGAATTCACTGCAGGGATGAGTGTGGTAGCATACATCTGTAATCTCAGCTACTGAGGAGGCTGAGGCAGGAGGATTGCAAGTTGCAGGCCAGCTTAGACAATCTAGCAAGAACTTGTCTCAAAATAAAACATAAATTGGCTGAGATGAAGTTCAGTGGTGTGCTGAATGTTTGACTAGCATCCAAAGGGCCCTAAGTTCAACCTCCAGCACCACAAAAAGAAAAAAAAAATTATCCCAGAAGCCCTGCATACTCGGGGAGGTCATCCTGGAGCCCTGGCAAGGGAGGACCAGGTTTCCATGCCTTGTTCTAGGAGGCCAGCACCTAACCTAGGGAGAACTTAACAGTGCAGAAAAGAAACTTTCCCCTCCCAGACTCTTTCTGCCCTCTCCTCAGGGTCTTCACAGCCCTTTCTAGGCTACTTCCTGTCCACCTTCTCAGGCACAGCCCGTGTGCAAGGGAGTCTACACCTCTTGCATGGTCACTGGTGGAAGGAGAGATGGGCGGGGGCCTCCACCCCGCCCTGCTCTGGGGATGGGGACTCACAATGCCCACTGGACTGGGAGAACAGGTAGCATGTTCCCCAGGCTGGACAAAAGGTAAAGAAAGGTACTCATATTACAGAATTTCTACTGTGCACCAGGCTCTGGCCTAGGGTCTCTGATGTGCTATTCCACCTATGAGGTTGATAGCATGAGCCCATTTTATAGCTAAAGAAACTGAGGCCCTTGGGCATGGTGGTGGCTCACCTGTAATCCTGGTGACTCAGGAGGCTGAGGCAGGAGGAGGCCAGCCTGGGAAGCTCAATGAGATCCTGTCTTAAAAAATAAAAAGGGATGCAGATATAGATCGCTGGCAGGGTACCCCTAGGTTCAATCTCGACTACCAAAAACCAAAACAAAGCAAAACTGAGGCCCCACTAGAGATGGCATTTCTCCCTCTTGGTCAGCTTCAAAGCCTTTCCTTGCCATTCCCTGGCTCTCCGGTGCCAGGCTGCCCTCCAGAAGAGGGGAATGTGTTGGAGCAGGGCATGGCCAGAGGGACATAACGTGGTCTTAGATCAGCCACCTCTCCACGTGTCTCCTTCCTCCCTCCCTCCCTCTGCCCACACCACTTGCACCAGGTCTTAGAGGAATCCCTGGTTTGGTGCTGACCCCCAGTGGCAGAAAGGGAGTATGACAGTGTCCTCAGACTACATGGAACCAGGGAGGGAGACTTAGAACCCCCAACTCTCCCAGCCTAAGGACCCTCAGAGAGCAGAGAGCACCTCCTCAAGGGGCCACTGGGGAAAGAGCCCCAAGGAGGGAGAAATACACCCAAGGTCGTAAAGCTAGTTAATGCAAAGTCAAGGCTAGAACTAGGATCTTCTGACTCATGCTGTACAGTTGCCATTTAAGCACCTTCTCTGGATCAGGCAACCTGCCTAGGGGCTTTTAATCCATATAGCGAGCGACCCAGGGAGGAAGAGGACATGATATCTCATCACTCCAATGAAACTGTCACCTCAGGCCCCTCCTCTCCCTCCAAATCTTCATCTGGACTGAGCTCAGGGTATAACCAAGAGGGAACATGGCATTCTGCCTTTCCCCAAGGCTGCCAAAGAGCCACCAGACTATGGGAAAGGTTTCCTGCCTCCGTGTCTAGCTCAGTGCCTGGGACACAGTAAGGATAATCTCATGATCAAAGCTACTATTTATTAGGTGCTAGCTGTCTGTCAGACATATATATACACCCACCCTAACCATCATGTCTGCCCCTCCCCCAAAAAACCTGCAAGGTGGACATGACTTAACAGAGGATGAAACTGAACTTCAGAGAAGCTGAGTGGGCACCCAGAGTCACACAGCTGCTCCAGGGAGGGGCCAAAATTAGAACCAGACCTGCCCCAGCCTCCCAACACAAGGCCTTTCTTTGGCTGGGGAGGGGGACATCATTTGAATCCTGTCCCCCCCTCACCATGCCTTCCTCTCCAGCTGGCCCCAGAGCACACACTGATGTCCTTCCGGAAGGCACTAGAGCAGAAGCTGTATGGGCTCCAGGCTGACGTCACTGTCAGGTAGGTGTCAGGAAGGGAGGAGGTCACCTCTCCTCCACAGGGTCTCTGCTGGTGGAACCTCTGGCCCCAAAGCCGTGGAGATGGGAGTCATCTGGGATCATCCGCAGCAGGGAGGCACCCTTTCCATGCCAGTGAATCTTGTGCCAAACTCCAGGGTATAAGAGAGAAGAGAGCAGACTCTCTTGGTCAGGCAGAGTGAAGGGTAAGGACCTGGAGGCACAGATCCACCTGAAGAGAAGCCAGCTCCGTGTCGCGGCTTCATGGGAGGGCTCAAACGCTCAGATAAGTGAAGTTAGCTGGGCGGGGAGACAATACTATTACTGTGATGCCAGTTATATTTTAAGGGACCACACAAAGGTGATAGGTACATTTTATAGCTATAGATATTGAAATATGTATTAGTATAAAGGGGAGGAGGAATCCACCCCAATCTTATAATAGAGATCACCTCTGAGAGGGGAAGATGGGTGGGGCTGCCATATAGAGTCATACTGGTCATAACAAGGACACCATATATGTGAGGTCACCTTTCCCAGAGTGGACATTGTAAAACTATTTATCATATGTTTCTAGCATGTGGTGGTGACATGCCTTGAGGAGTGGGGGCAGGGCACAGGTGCACTGGGTTAGCTCTTGGCAGCCCTGGTCGGGGAGATAAGGTGGAGATGGGGTGAGATTTGTAAAAGAGGCCTACATTTGCACTGTTCTCATTATGATCAATGGACTTGGTCCCAAGACATGTTCTACTACTTCCTGGCAGTCAACCTTGAGCTAGATACTTTCCTCTCTTCGTCTCAGTTTCTCCATTATTGAGTGACCTAGCACCTATCTTCACAGATGATAATGGTCCCAGCCTTTTCCTACCCTCCCTCCCTGGCAGTTCTCACCCCACCTGACCCGCACACAGAGTGGAGGGTATTGGCCCTTCAGGGTCACCTACCAGCCCCCTGTCCACTATTCAGGTAGGGAGCCTGAGGCCCAGAGAGGGGCAGAGCCAGTCCAGGCCCCATGGTGGTTGGGGAGCAGTGTGTGAGAGGGGCTGATTGTGGATGGCAGGTGACTTGGTTGGGTGGTGACTCGGTGCCCCCTCCCCACAGCCTGGACGGTGTGCCCTTTCTCATGCACGACACCACGCTGCGGCGCACCACCAACGTGGAGCAGGCATTCCCGGAGCTCGCCCACAGGCCCGCCTCCATGCTCAACTGGACCGTCCTGCAGAGGCTCAACGCCGGGCAGTGGTTCCTGAAGGTCAGACCCCAGTCCTAGACAGGGATCCCACACAGTGAGAGAGGCAGGTGGCCATCAACTCGGGTCATGAGGCCAGGCTGGTTAGTGGCCTCTCCGGGTTCCGCAGCAGCCAGACCTCATGGTTGTCACTGCTTGATCTGGATCTGCCTCCCTGGCTGGGACAAGCTGATGGGGGTGCTGACAGCAGAACGGTTCACTCTGGGACACTCTGGAGGGAGGTCGATTGTCCGGTCTGAGAGGCTAGAGGAGAATGGGCTGGGGTGGAGGTGCTCTGGGAAAACCATTCCCTCTGGAAGCGGAGTTGGGTAGAGGGTAAGGGCGGGAGGCTCTGGGAGGCCGCAGCACCACTTCACCTGACGGACACCAGCGGACTCCCGAAGCCCAGGGCTCTCCACACTTGGTTGCTAGGAAAGCATACAGAGACCCGAAATGGCAGGTGACAGAACCATGTGTGTCCCTGTCTCTGCCAGACTGACCCCTTCTGGACGGCCAGCTCCCTGTCACCCTCCGACCTCAGGGAGGCCCAGAACCAGTCCATCTGCAGCCTGGAAGAGCTGCTGGAGCTGGCCAAGGGCAACGCCACGCTGCTCCTCAACCTCCGCGACCCGCCCCGGGAGCACCCCTACCGCAGCAGCTTCCTCAATGTCACGCTGGAGGCCCTGCTGCGGTCTGGCTTCCCACAGCACCAGGTGAGGCCCTGCAGCACCCCAACCAGCCCTGGCCCAGCCCTGCTCCAACCTCAACTCACCTGTTCCCTCTAGACTTCAGGTTTCACATTTGTAAAATGGGGTCTTAGGCCCCTTGCCTCCTTGCCAGGGTCCTCGCGGGGAGCAGAAGGGAACCAGAAAGTCCTTTCAGATGTTCAGTGGGCAGGAGTGGGTCCAGGATCTCCAGTTACGTCAGTGAAGGGCTGCCCAGGTCACTGTGGTGCAATGGTTAGGGACCAGAGAAATCAACACCAATCTGTGACAGCATGCCTGAAACTAGTGACCCCGGGCAGAGTGATGTGTGTTTGGGTTCTCCATCTTGACATGACAGCAATCCAGAGTTGTAGCCAGAGGGCTTACAGCCATGGCTGGGACCAAGTGTCCCCTGATAACCATCACACTTAAGTGGTCATCATTTTAACCTTATTCATACTCTAGTGAGGTAGGTCTTCTTACCCAGAGTTTGCAGAAGAAAACGCTGAGGCTGCCCGCCCTCTTGCCTGTAGGTCATGTGGCTGCCAAACAGGCAAAGGCCCCTCGTGCAGAAGGTGGCTCCCGGCTTCCAGCAAACTTCAGGCTCCAAGGAGGCTGTCGCCAGTCTGCGGAGGGGCCACATACAGCGGCTGAACCTGCGCTACACTCAGGTGTCCCGCCAGGAGCTCAGGTGCTTGCCCCACCTGGCCCAGGGGTGGGACTGAGTCTCCCCTAGTCTTGACACTCCTCTCACTGCTGGACAGAGGGCAGGGCACATAGGGGTTCTGCACACGTGGTTCAGAGATGTTGTGAGCAGCAAGCAGAGCTGGGTTGGACTGGGAGCTGGGTCCTGGTGTGGACATTCCTTCCTCCAGGGAAAGTTGGTGGCATGAGGCTGTGAAGGGAGCACACTTTACAGGCTTCCCACAGGGAGAAGCCAGTGCCCGGAACCAACCAACCTCTGTCCTGTCCAGGGACTACGCGTCCTGGAACCTGAGTGTGAACCTCTACACTGTCAATGCGCCGTGGCTCTTCTCCCTGCTGTGGTGCGCTGGGGTCCCGTCTGTCACCTCTGACAACTCCCACACCCTGTCCCAGGTGCCTTCCCCACTCTGGATCATGGTGAGTTGGAGACTGTTGGGGGGCAGAGGACACCTGGGGTCAGTGTAGAGAACTGCCTGTGGCCTACTCCTACCACTCAGCAAGCTCTGTGCTCGGGGCTGTCCCTGGGGAGGTCTCAGGGCTGGAGGTGTCCCTGATGTGGATGCAGGCTTGAGGCAAGAGGAGAATTTACCTCGACTCTGGGGCTGCACTAAGGCACTCGAGGAACTCTGGGCCCTGCTCCCAGGGAGGAGCACATCACCTAGGGGCCCTCAAAAAGTAAATAGCTACTTGGAGTTTTCTTTTGGAGTGTGTTCCTTATATTTGATTTTAAAGTAAGGGAAAAGAACAATGGGACAAGAATTAGGAATGTTAAAAGTCTTCCTTGAAAATAGTGAATCAAATGGTGTCGAGCTGGTGGGCTGAGCACCCACCCACAGGCTGAGTTCTAGTCCCTGTGCTGCCTCCCAGTAGCTGGGGAGCCCTGGCTTCCCTCCTGGGCGGCTCCTGCTGCCATCTCCCTGAGGACATGAAAGGCAGACACAGGGCCCCTTATGGCCTTGTGGGTGGCATCGTCAGCAAGTTACATCTGAGTTAGGATGGACTCATGAAGGAGAGAGAAGGAAGCAAGAAGCAGCCCTCAAGGAGAGGAGGAAATGGGGATCTGGGCCGTGGCCTGCACGTTAGAACCCATCACAGCCTCCAGGTCCCTAAATACCTGCTCTCCAGCTCTCACCTGCCTTTCATCCTTTAAAACCTCCCGAGTTGGCACAAAACCACTCACTACCAGCGCGGGTGACGAGCTCACCCCTCCCAGCATGCCCAAGACCCAGGAGCCTGAGGCTACACACAGGGCCTTGCCTTTCCTAGCCCCTCAGTGTTCCCTGGGGGGAAGCCCCTGCTCTCTGCCCTCCAGTCTTCATGCAGTGAAGCATACTCCTACCCCACACAGGTGCTACACACCTGTCCACAGGTTCGCAGCTCACCAGCCAGTTGTATCACACCCTTACATTCATATGCACATTTGTTCAGACATACAGTACCCTTGTTTCATCATTTGGTTCTTGCTTTGAGCCACGGACCCTCCAGGTTTAACATCCATCACTTCTACCCTGAGTGTGTGCATGTGCGCGCGGTCACACACACACACACACACACTCTCTCTCTCTCTCTCTCACACTGAGGCCCACAGTATGCAGAGCCCACTCCTACAAAGTAAAATCATAAGCCTCCATCCCCCTCAAGGTCCTCCTTACCCTCCCTGATGGTCATGTGGGGTCCTCCAGCCCATGGACCCTCGGTCTGGATGGGCCATGACTGGAAGCTGGCCTCGGGCCATCTGTCCACAGCCCCCGGACGAGTACTGTCTCATGTGGGTCACCGCCGACCTGATCTCCTTCACCCTCATCGTTGGCATCTTCGTGCTTCAGAAGTGAGTAGGCGCTGACACTTCCATGGCCCTCCCACCCCTTGGTAGGCCCAGCCCCCACCCAGCCAGGTGAACCTACCCTGAGCCCTCGGCAGGCCAACCGGGAAGCCTGACCAGGAGAGAAGATGGGAGTCCCCGGGATCCCCCAGCCTTGCCTTCTTCCAGCAGAGGCTGGGTGCCTTCTGGAATGAGCGCCCAGCTAGGAGCCCAGAGCCAAGCTCTGTCCTGATTCGCTGTGTGGACTTTGGCCCCTCTGCGGCTAGCCTGCCCCTGTTAGCTGGGGCACAGGTTCCCAGCAGCACCGAGGCCTTGCCTGTGCCAGGTGGAAAGCCTCCCCACCTACCCCTCAGGGCGGCAGCTGGGATGTGGGTGGGGTGGGGTCCAGGGGAGGGTTTAGGGCCAACCTGGGGGCCCAGCCCAGCCAGGAACCAAGGGGCTGGGTTTTATTCTTGACTGATGTTCTCTCTCTGTCCCATCCTGCTCTGATCCGGCGCATGTCCCTCCTCTCTCCCCTCCCCCCCTCTGCTGCACTCTGGCACCTCACAGCTATCACTTGATCAGGTAATTCTAGTGTGCTCCTCCTCCTGTTCCTCTTTCTCCCTACTTGCCAGTCCCTTCTCTAGTTCTGTCTGAAAAGCTGCCGTGCACCAAGCTCTGGGCCTGGGTCACCCTCGCCAACACACCCCCTTGCCTGAAGCCGCACCCCTCCTTCTCTCCCCCAGCCCTCCTCCCTGCTCTTCCCATCTTGCCATGTGTGTCCCTCTGCTCTCTGTTCTCACTGCAGTTTCTGCCAGTGGGGACCAGTGTTTCCTTGACAGGTCCCTGACCCTGTCTCTCAGCACCAACGTGTCTCCCTCAGGGAGGGGGTCCCTGCCTGAGCACCCCTATCCCCCCGAGTCCAGACCTTTTGGGGGCCTTCACCACCTGCCCAGTGCAGACCCCAAGTTCCTGCCTCTCTGGGCTTCCTCCTCCCTCCGTCATGCTCTTTACCTTTCTCTGTGTCTCTCCCATCCCTTCTTCCCTCCTCTGTCTCTGACCCCCACTGCCACTCCTCTCCCTGACATCGCCTCTCCCCTTCCCCTGGGAGGAGCCCCACAACGTCTTCCTGTCCTAGATGCACCTAGCTGCAGAGACCGTAGCCTGATACCTTCTTGCTGGGTTTTAATGTTAATTTCCAAGATGAGAACTTTGTCTTAGGCATCCCTTGGTCAACTGCCTTGGGCCCTCCTGGGTCAGGTACCTTTACTGACCAGCTTTTTTAGGAGGAGAACCTGCCCTCTGGCTATGGGACTGGGGGAGGGACATTTAGCCAGTTGATCCTTCCTCTGTCCACAGAGGCAGTAGACACTCATGATACTGCCCAGTGTCGTGCTGGGTCCTTCAGATACAACCAGGGCAGTGTCATTGTCCCTGGAGGGTCAGGGGCAGCATCATGGAGAAGGAGACCTGGGGGATGAACCAGGGGAAAAGATCATTTCCCTGTGGGCCTCATTCTTCTGTTCATTCACTCAACGAGTCCTTGTCTAGCACCCGCTAGGCAGACACTGAGATTGGTGCTGGGGGCCCACTGCTGGATAAGAGGTGCCATCCCTACCCCCGAGGATTTGCAGGGCAGCCAGCCCAGCCAGGGGGCAGGTGCCTTCCCCTCTGCCTCTTGCTTTCTCCTTGTCTGTCTGCTCTGTCCACCTATCTGTCTGTCCATTTCTGCTGTGCTGACCCCATCCAGAAACTCACAATTGATTTCTTGTGGAGTCTTGGTTCCTTCCACCGGCCCAAGCAGGATTTGGTCCCCTAGAAGGTTGGGTGCTTGTTTCCAAGCTGCCCTTTAGCTCCTCTTGGTGGGGTAGGGTGGGGGGATCATGAATCCTTCTGCCTAAATCCTAGGAAACATCCAAGGGAGGCCAGGGATTTGGGGTTAATTTGGAGGGACTACGACAGCGAAGGCAGTGTCCGGGGCTGGGCCCAGGAGACTGAGTCCTCCCCACTCTCTCTTGGTCCCTGCGTGCCTTGTGCACGCCCACCTCCCAGCCCACCCTCGAGTCAGTGTGTCCACCACCCTGCCCCTTCCAGCCTTCAGGAGGATTCATGCTCCAGCCTGCCCCTCCCTTTAGGGTTGTTGGAGCAGAGCAGCAGACACCCCACCCCACGTCGCTCTAACACCCTTGCCTCCCAGACCTGTGAAGATCACTTGTGAGCAGTCCTATTACCCTGCTGCCCTTCCCTTCCCTTCATCTCCGGGTTTCCTTCTGGCTTCCCTGGGCCTGTCATGATGGTGGAGCTGTGGGAGGCATCAGCTGGGACTTCCTGACATTGATGTGGACTCCAGGGCAAGTCACAAGTCATGCCTGCTAAGCTCCTTCCTCCCTGAGATTGTCCCAAAGAGCCAGGTGCATAACTGGAGGCACCTGAGACAGAACCAACCAACCATCTTTCTGGGCCAGGTTGCCAGTTTAGGGTTCTGGAGGTAAAGGGAGGCAGGAGAGCCCTGGCCGAGAACCAGTAGACTCTGACACAAGTCCCCACCCTGTCCCTCTCTGGACCTGTTTCCCTATTTGTCCAGTGGGACATGAGTCTGGCCGGTTTCTCAAGCCACATCCAGAGAGCCTCTGGAAGTGGCAGGGTCTGTGCTGCAGGAAGGGGTGGGGAAGGACCTGATGCCCATGGGACCATTTCTGCAGGTGGCGCCTGGGTGGCATCCGGAGCTACAACCCTGAGCAGATCATGCTGAGCGCTGCAGTGCGCCGGACCAGCCGGGATGTCAGCATCATGAAGGAGAAGCTCATCTTCTCAGGTAAGCAGCCTGCAGACAAGCGAAGCAGGCCCTGGGCAGGGGCTCACACCTACAAGCAATGTCACACAGCGCATGTATGTAGGGACACAGACAGGTGTACATAGCCCACTTGGGTTTACACCTGCACACATACAGAGGCACACACATACAGAGGCACACACATGGAAACACACACACCTCCACAGGCAGGCAGCTCGGGATCCTGTGGCTCCCTTTCACACCACAGTTGTTGGGCAAGGGCGATGTGCGGGTGGGGAGGGGCCTGTTTGAAGGTCCATCTTCCTTCCCCTAGTTCACATACAGGCGCACAAATGATGATTTTACCCTGCTCGTTGCTAGCCCATTGGCAAGCCCTGTCGGATGGAGGAGGCAGCTCTATGGACAGACATGGAAAATCGAGGGTTGCTGGAGCTCTCCCAATGCAGGTGCTGAGGAGAGTGGGGTCAGAGCTCCCTGGGGCAGCAAGGAAGGTTTTGGTGTGATGATGTAGCTGGAGTGTGGAGGACGGTAGAGAGTACCCACCCGGGTAGTGGGTGGAGGGTGCTCCTGGTGGGGGCAGTGTGGGAACACTTTGCCTGGGCACCGGGAACCAGAGAGCATTCTTCTGGGCTGAGCTTCACTCAGCAGACCTTCCCTGAACCCGTCTGTGCCCTGCATTCTGCCATCTCTACAGCACAGATGTTCGGGAGCCACTCTGTTTAGTCGGGTCCTAGAACTCACACCAAATGTGGTGGGGCCAAAGGAAGCAGGGGCTGTCCATGAAGAGGCCCATCCCTCCCTGGGGGACTCGGAGGAGGCTTCCACAAGGGGGACACAACACAGCTGAGAAGACTTGAGTCAGAGTTTAGGAAAAGGAAGTGTCCACAAGGACATTGGTCCCTCCCAAGAGAGGGGCTAATATATACAAAGATCCCATGGAGACTAAGAGTGCCAAACTCAAGAGGGCGCAGGTGGCTTCCTGTGGCTGGAGGTGCAGGTGGCTTCCTTCCTATTGAGGCAAGGCCAGAGCGTTCAGCAGACCAGGAGGGCCTTGAATGCCAGGCTCAATGCCAGCTGGAACCCAGCAACTGCACCGGGTCTCTAGGTGCCCCACTAGGAATTGCTGCAGGCCACCCTTCCTGCCCCACCTGTCACCATCCTCACCCTGTCCTCCCCACTCACATTCTGTCTCCCTCTGGCCCAACAGAGATCAGCGATGGCGTGGAGGTCTCCGATGAGCTCTCCGTATGTTCAGACAGTAGCTACGACACATATGCCAACAGCACTGCCACGCCTGCGGGCTCCCGAGGGGGCAGCAGCCACACCAAGACCCTTACAGACCGGGGTGGGCGTTAGCAGAAGACCTGTCTGTCTGGGCCTGTACCTGACATAGAAACCAGGAGAGCCCAGGAGAGCTGGCGTGTTGGACCGAGAGCTCCGGGAGCTGGCTCCGCAGCCTCTACTTGGGGCCTGGCCCCTTGTCACCATGACCTCTCTTGGAGGGTGTTTCCTCTCCCCTGAGGCCCAGCGGGGCCAGGATTCCAGCCTTTCAGATGCCCCTGCAGGCCTGGGGCTCCTTCTTCTGGGAAGTGTGGGGTCTGGGGCCTGGTCCTGCTCTCACAGGCCTCTCTCACATCCCAGCCAGAAAGCTTTGATGGGTCACTGGATGGTGCCATCTTCCGTGGCAACGAGGATGTAATTGCCCACCTGTGTCTGTCTACCTGTCCACACCATGGGCAACTGACTTCTCCATTTTTATCCTGCCTTGAAGACCTGGGCTAGGCTTTTACCCCTGGCCCCTGGCAGCTCTGCTCTCCATGTCAGTCTCAAAGCACAAGGAAGTTCTGCCCAGGGAGAAAGCCGGTGGCTGTGATCCAGATACATCCTCCTTCCCAACCAGCCTCCCACCAGCACCACCAGCCCCTGCCCCACCAGAGGGCTTGAACCATGTCCCCTAGGAGGAGCTGGAGATAGCCAGAAGTACAGGCTTAGGGCTGGTCTATGTCACACCCAAGTGTCCAACAGGCCTCTGGGGAAGAAGTGGCCCTGAGGCCCAGGAGATCTACAGACTGATACAATCTCATGTTCCCCCACTGTGGCCCCAGGGCAAAGACCCCTTAGGAAAAGTGTTCTGAGCATGATGAAATATGGACATGTGGCCAGTAGGCCTGCAGTGGAGGGAGCCTGAGGGCCTCGTCCAGGATGATTAAAGCTGCCATCTTGATGTGTGCTGTCTATGAGTTGTCAGCAGGAGGGTGGGGACAGAGCATACTGGGTTTGAGGCTCAGTTCTGGCCCTGTGATTTGAGGAGGAAATGTTCTCAGTAACTCTGGGATGGTGGCAGGATGGCTGAGCCCCTACCCTGTCAGTCACGATGCCAGGTGTCCTTAACAGCCCTGGCCCCAGAGGTAAAGCAATTGTCTAAGGCCATATAGCTTAGAACAGGCAGAGCCAGTGTCCCACCCAGAGACTGGCTCCAACCCACATCGCCTTCCATAACAGAGGGGGACAGGTAGTTAAATGCAGGGCTGGGGAGTGGGACAGCTGGTCCCTCAGCCATATGGAGGCACTCTGAGCTCCCCTATAGAAGAACAAGTCCTCACCAGGCCTCTGCCCCATGACAGGGGTGGCTTTGAGTTCTCAGGGCTTTGGACCTTCCTGAGGCAGGCGCACCCCTATGCCTAGCATAATGGGAACACCTGGGCCAAAAGTCAAAACGCAGCCCAGGGACCACATATGCCCCTTCCTGTTCTTCAATATTTGGGGTGTGTGCTCTCTGCAGGGAGGGGTCCACTGTGGAGTCAGGGCAGATCTTTAACTGTGAGTTTGTCCCAGGGGTCTGTATGTCTTGGGTGTGTCCCAAGGGGAAAGGGTGAGGCTGAACCCCAGCTCTAGCCTGCCTGAAGCAAATGCCACACTTCCCGGGAGCCAAGGGATGTGTCTCATCTCCAGACAAGGGTAGACAGAATTCTTGAGGCCTCAAAGTTTCTGGCACCTTCTTGAAGGAAAACAAAAGAGTCCCTTCCAAATGTTGACCCCTCATGTTAACCTCTAGGACTATCCCTCAGGGCTGAGGGGACTTACCCCTCCTTCCCTTGCTACTGAATATCTGGCAAATGCTTCTTAATGGGGCAAGGGTCAGCTCCAGCCTCTTCTCTGGACACAGGCAGTAAGTGAAACTGCTGGGCCAGTGTTGGGGTTGGGGGCATTTCCCTACCCAAAATGCACATCCCCCACCATGTTATGCCTTCTCTCCAACCCCTGTCAGGCCCACATAGGAAAGAGAATAAAACTTTCACACCAGTCCTTCCCTATCTAGTCAGTTCCCCCTGGCCAGGGTATCTGAGGCTCCTGGCCACACTTGGGAACCTTAAGACATCCTGAAATCTTAGGAGAGGAAAGTGGGGAGGGAGAGGGCTGGGGTCCCAACTGGAACAGCCAGCCCATACCCCATCCTCCAATCCAGGGCCAGTCCAGCTGCCACCCTTTCACCCCAAATAATGGAAGTTGGAGGGCGGTCATACCTTAGATGGGCAGACAGTCTGGCTTGTCTCCATCTAAGCCTGCAGCCATGGTCCACCCTGATTCCTCTTATATAACCTGGGGAACAGAGAAGGGGCCCTAGACCTCTGGCTGTCCCCTGTAAACCACTCCTTTCTTCCTTCTGACCTCAGAGGGTGGAGCCTCATCCTGTCTGAGCCCACTTTCCACCTTCTCCAGGCTTCTCTATGAACCCCCAGTCCCTTCTTCCCAAGAAGAGATATGAAGACCCCCAAATATCTCACATTCTTTAAATAATATTCACACAGGAAATCTTTTTTGCAGTATAAGGGCAGTTCACCATTCCCTGGAGCAAGTCCTCAGAACAGACTCTAGCCAAGCCTCAGGACTCACACTTGGTCAAGATCACCATGCGTGCCCCCATTCTGTCTGAGCCTGCTCTGCCTGGGTCAGGGTCTCCTCACACCTGGCCTTCTTCTAAGCAACCCAATATGATAGGCAGAGCAGGAATCTTGTGTATCCTGCCTGCTGAGATGAAGAGCCAGGCCAAGAGGTGGGCAGTGCTAATCAGGGTCACAACCATCACAACAGTGCCAGACTAGGTCCCAGGTGCCCAGGGTCTACCCAGATTCTTATCAAAGCAATCTTCTCCCCAAGTTGCTGTCCCCTTCCAAGAGGGCAACCCCGTAGATGTCAGGCTCTGTGGGCCTTTGTAGAGGCAGCAAGTCATCCAGAACCAGCCTGTGGAATCCTCTTCCTTGGCTCCAGGAGGCCAGGTCAGCCCCTCTCCACCCAACTCAGCCTGCCCAGTAACACCATGCCCTACCCCACTGAGCCCCCTCCAAGGGGCTTATCCCCCACTCATACCACACCAGACAGGCACAGGACCACATGCTATACAGACCCCTGTCACACACACAGACACACCACGGATATACAGGCCCACAACACACACAAGTCCGAGACACTCATGACATACATAAAAATGAACAAAAAGACACAGATACTGAGATAGAGTCAGGCAAAGTCCCACAATGACGTCTGCCATCAAGCAGGGATATGGATACAGCATAGTCACACAGAGGCAGAAGGAGAGAAACCTCAATCCACATCTGTGGCAGTCACATTCTTGGTCACTTCTGCAGCAGTGTGGTCATCCATCCACAAGTCCATACCACCTCAAGCTATAGTCACGCACTCCCACATTCACACATAGGTACACTGGAACACCAACACGTTGACAACCACCTCGCCTACCTGAGGCACACCACACACACACACACACACCCCTGTGTATTACTGAAGGACAAGGCCAGCACAAGTCACTCCCAATCCCAGGCATACCAGATCCCAGAGTTGCACACACAGTCAATCCCACTCTTACTCCCACCCCCTCCCCTCCTGGGGCTGGTCCAAGAGTGGAACAAAAGCCCAGCGTCCACCCCTCCCCCTCCCCCTCCCCTCCTCCTCTCCTGCTGGCGTCCAGCCCCTTTGTCCTCCCACAGCTGAGCCTGAGTGGGAGTCTGGGCAGAGCGGCAGGGAGGGACGTTGGAGCCTGGCTGCTGGGGTGTAGGCAGCAGGTACAATCAGGAGTGGTCTTCGTGAAAGCATCAGCTGCGGAGCCTCTGGGAGAGGGAGTGGCCAGGTAAGTGCCAGGTAGCCCTGGGCAAGGCTCAGGATGCAGGGCTGACTGGTTGTGTGGTAGTGGTGTCAGAAGTCTGAGCTGTGTACATGTGAGTGAGTGTGGGGGTGACAGAGAGACAGGGACGGTGGCATGTTGAGCTGACTTCCACAGGTGGGGCCTCAGTCTGCGTCATGACCTTAGCCAGGGCTTAGACTGCCCCATGGAAGAATGCTGACGAAGCCCTACCTGGGAAGCTCTACCTTCCATATTCCACCTGGGTGGAGCCCCCCATGCTCTAGACTGGGAATCCTCAGGATGGAAACTGGGTCTCAAGTCCCTGTGTCCATAGTTCACAGTACCTAGAGTGGTGGAGAGTAGAATGAAAAAGTACATGTGCACTTCCCAGGACAGAACCTCTTCCCTCCTCTCAGGGAGCCCCTCCAGCCCTGGGACATCTCAGTGGGGAGAAGTCCCTCCTTTTCCTGATGAGGCTGACCTCAGTGTGTGGCTTCATCCTGGGCTGGCTTAGCATACATAGAGGGCAACACACTGTAATGAACTGCCTTACCTCCCTCTGATGGTCTTTGGCTGCTCCAAGTCACACCCCCACCCTGGCCAGTGGCAGAGTAGCTAGGCATGCAGAGCCTCTACAGAGCCAGTCAGGGCTCAGCCCGCTCTACTTGGGCAAATGTAGTTAACTTCGTTGTCCACCAGGAAGCTTACTTTCTGTGAAGCTACGGTAGGGAGTCCACTGCCCAGCCAACCAGGTTGACACCAGGCAAGATCTCACCTCTAGAGGTGGCAGAGCAGTTGAGATCAGGAGAATGGAGGGAGAGGCAAGGGGTCGAGTGCAGAGCTGAGCTTCCCTGGAATAAGACATAAAGGTATGCTCCCCACCCTAGAGGGGTGCAAGCAGAGGCTGTATGCTCATAAGGTCCAAACCCTAACCAGTGGGGAACAGCTCTTCAGTCTGTGGAGTTCAGCTCTTCCAAACACCCCTCCTTTGCTCCTAGCAGCAAATCTCTGAGGGGGAGGTTCCCTCTGAGTGCTCACAACTTACCCAATCTAGGTCAGAGCGCTACAGCCAGGTTCTCTCCACTTCCCCACAACAGTAGGCACCTTCCCTTTACTCCTTTGGCTTCACTAATTCTACCCAGCCTTCTCAGTTTGAAGGACCCCTCAGGAACATTTCCCCTGAATCCCCTCAAATTGAGTTTACTACCCATTCTGTGAGCTCCCTAGATGCTTCATACTTCCCCCAGGGGACCTCTGCCAAACTGTGACCTCTGGGAAGTCTCTCAATAAATACTTGTTTCATTACATTCACTCGACTTTGAACAGGTCTAAGCACTTACTATAGCATGATGCTGTGCTGTGAGGGTGGGGCAGACATTAAATAAATATAATCAGAGTTTGGTCAATAGGAAGTACCTACACCTACGTACGGGAGAGCAGCAGCAAAGTTGGAGAAAGGGAGATAATTATTGTGCACCTGTGTGCACTTTCGTACGCACACACTGGAGTCCCTAGGGTAGTCTGAAACCCTTAATCAAATACTGCAGCTCCTGTCATGGAACCGTCCTTATAGAGATATTTTGTCCATGTTCCTGGAACCCTCCCTCCTTCACACCTTGGTGATGAAGACTCCCTACTGCTGGTAGCCCCGTGGCACTGTTCTATCCCTGTTGGAGTCCCTAAATACTGCTTAGGTTTTTGTAAACCGTTCCTTTATTGGACTCTCCACAAATTACCCTATTTGAGAGCCTGCCATCTGCCTCCTGCGGAGACTGATAGAAAAAAGCTTAGCGAGTCTGAAGAAAAAAGGGCAATATGGCTTTAGTGGGTGACGGGAGGAGGTGGTACGGATAGGGCAGAGGCTAGATTATAGCCACGAGTCTGGTTAGAAGAGCGTCTGAATGAATCCAAGCACACGTTACGTTTGTGCGTGCAAGAGTAAGCCAGTGAGCGAACTAAAGAATAAGTGGCTGGTTTGGGTCGCGAGTAGTGCCTCCTGATCCTAGGCCAGCCTCGCAGGAAAATTTCCCGACGCTGTGTTCTCCACCCTGCAGGATGCGGGAGGCCCCCGGCCCGCAGGATTC